CAAGAGTTAAAAAAAGGGGGACGGGCCGGGGGAGGAGAAAAAAAAAGGGGCCCCCGGGGGGCCGGGGGGGGGGGGGGGGCCCCCGGGGGGGGGGTTCTGGGGGTCAAGGGGGGGTTTTACCTTGGGGGGGTTTTTGGGGGGGGGGGGTTTTTTTTGGGGAGGGGGGGGGGGGGGTTTTTTTTTTTTGGGGGGGGAAAAAAAAATATTGGGGGGGGGGGGGGGGGGTCAGGTTAAAGGGGGGGGGGGGGGGAAAAAAAAAAAAAAGGGGGGGGGGGGGGGGGGGGGGGTTTTCTTGGGGGGGGGAAAAGGGGGGGGGAAAAATTTTTAAAAATTTTCCCCCTTTAAGAATTTTAAAAAAGGGCCCCCCCCCCCCCCCCCCCCCCCCTCCTGCCCAATCAGATATTTCTTGGCGGCGACCCTCTGCTAGACCTGCCGGGACTCCTGCGATACCGCATCTCCGGCGATATGGAGGAGAGGCTGAAGAAGCTCGAGGCGGCAGGGGGTCCCGTGGTTCTCAGGCTGGTGGAGCACATGGTGCAGAGGGATGCGGGAAAGCGGAAGACGGTTAAGGTGCGACCAGGACCCCTTGTCTGTTGGGAGGGGTTACAGGATCCACCCAGGGCAGTCAGCCACCTTGTATCGTTTGGTGGTGTCGGCGTATCTTTGAAACGCATGGATGGGGTTGTTGGTTGTTGTGCCCGCGAGGAGGTCGGTTGCTTTCAGTGTTGATTGATTGGTTTCTGCATACCAAGTCCTCGCGATTGGAAAGTCGGTACCTCGTGACAGAGAGCTCCAGGTGGGTAAGCCGTGGAGGTAAATAACCCTTGCCAAAATCATGCCACGCTTCTGAGTTTCTATCTTCAACGAGTAAGACCCGAAGACCATGGTATATATTTTTATGCATGCTCCCTCAGGTAAGTCTATGACATGTAACATGTCACAGCACTTCTCTCCACGCCTGTTTCCTTGGCAACCCCGCCTTCCCTTCATCTATTTATGGCGTCTCTACCTGTAGTCGAGAGTGTCGATGCTCCGTCCGTCCCTAGTAAGTAGCGCGGTCTATGGCCGGATGCCTCAACATCTGGTGACTCGGTTACGACATGAACCATCATTTGGGGAAGACGTACGTAATAGCTGTTGGCCTCGGGCGCTCAACGGCGCTACTGTAGTCTAGGGAAACCAACAAACACAGCCCTGCAACGTTTAACGCACACCGCAACATGCTCGCCGTGTATCTTGCTTACCCAGCGCCGCGAGCTACCCTCGTCTACAGTGCTAGCCACGAAAGAAAGGGCGTCACCTATGTCAATTAGTACCCTCAGTGCTACATAGATAGCTAATCCCAAGTAGAGGCCGGTCGCGAAAAGTGTTCTTGGATAAAAAAAATGGTCGGTAGTTTACAAGTACCCCCCTCCCCGGTTCAAATAACAGGAGTACATTCGAAGGATGGAGAAGCCGGGGACACTGTTCCCGCGGTCGTTCGGCTCTTTCCTCTTCCCCCTCCTAGCCACCATGCACGCCGGCGAGGGCGCCGGGGAAGACGGCGACCCCGCCTCCGCCGCCGCCCCTCCCTCTCCTGCCGACGGGAGCAAGCGACCACCCCCCGAACACCACGACGACGGCGGCGGCGGCGGCGGCGGTGGCGGTTGCAAAGGTGGAGCGATAAGGTCTCCCGACGAGCGACTGGCGCTGGTGGCGCGGTCGTACGGGAGGGCCATGTGCGAGCTTGCGGGGACACCGGACCCGGAGGGGCACGCCCTGCTGCAGGCGGCCCTGGCGGAGGCGGGGGGGGGGGGGGGGGGGATTCCC